AAGTCCTTTCAAATGACATCAAGGTCAATGACCTTGTGACCTTGACTGTGACCTAAATGCTAAAAATAGCTTTTTCCACTGTTTGTCATAACTTTTTAACCATAGGAGATAGGGACTTGATATTTGGTATGCATACTCCTCTAATAAAGCCCTTTCAGTTGACAACAAGGTCAATGATCTTGTGACCTTGACTGTGACTTATATGCTAAAAAAAGCTTTTTACACTTTTTGCCATAACTTTTGAACCATAGGAGATAGGAACCTCATATTTGGGATGCATACTCCACTGATTAAGTTCTTTCAGATGACACCATGGTCAATGACCTTGTGACCTTGACCGTGACCTAGATGCTAAAAATAGCTTTTTACACTTTTTGCTATAACTTTTTTACCATAGGAGATAGGAACTTCATATTTAGGATGCATACTCCACTGATTAAATTCTTTCAAATGACACCATGGTCAATGACCTTGACTGTGACCTATATGCTAAAAATAGCTTTTTACACTTTTGGCCATAACTTTTAAACCATAGTAGATAGGGACTTCATATTTGGGATGCATACTCCACTGATTAAGTTCTTTCAAATGACACCACGGCCAGTGACCTTGTGACCTTGACTGTGACCAATATGCTATAAATAGATTTTTTGAACTTTGTTTCCGCCGGGCGCATAGTGTTTCACAAACACATCTTGTTTACCTTTACTTTCCTTTGACCTTTACTTAACTTTTCTTAAAATTAGTGTTTAGCTTTATTTTAGAGAAACCATAATGATTCAAGTTGTGTAATGAAAATTCACATGATGATACATACTGATGTAAGCAATTAAAGCTTTACAATGCTTCACTCTTTTTTACCTTGACATTTCCTGTGATCTTGACCTCACTGTCTTAGACTAGATCAGTTTTGAATAAATAGTTCAAGATATATTAATCAAACTTCATGTGCTAATACATACTGATGAGAGCTATTATTGCATTAACTTATTTTGACCTTGAATTTTCTTTTGACCTTGACCTCACTTTTTAAAATATGTGTTTATCTAAGTTTCAAATAAACCATTAATTATATTTTTATCAAAATTCATTTGATAATAGTAAATTCACACTGATGTAAGCTTTTCAGCTAGAACAACATTTTGACCACAACCTTTCCCTTGACTTCTCTTTTCTTAAAACAAAGTGTTAAGCTCACTTTTATTAAATCATTAAAGATATTTTAATCAAACATAATAAGCTAATATGTATTAGTGAGAGCTATTCAGCTGCATCAAAAACTTCATCTTGCACATTCCTGTGACCTTGACCTCCCTCCTCTTTAATATGTATTTTGCTTAGTTTTTAAGAAATAATTTAAGACATTTTTATGTTTAACATGCACTTATACATAATTTGATGAGAATTTATTATCTATATCCAATTTATTTATATTTTAGTTTCAATTCTGAAAAAAAACTGTTTAAGATATTTTCATCAAACTTTATACACAAATACAAATTTTAGTTTTTAGTTTTTAGCTCACCTGAGCTGAAGGCTCAAGTGAGCTTTTCTGATCATATTTTGTCCGGCGTCCGTCTGTCTGTCTAGCTGTCTGTAAACTTTTCACATTTTCGACTTCTTCTCAAGAACCACTGGGCCATTTCAACCAAACTTGCCACAAAGCATCCTTGGGTGAAGGGGATTCAAGTTTTTTCAAATGAAGGGCCATGCCCTCATTCAAGGGGAGATAATTGGGAATTAATGAAAATTTGGTGGCATGTTTTAAAAATCTTCTTCTCAAGAACCACTATGCCAGGAAAGATGAAACTTATGGGTTAACATCCTCAGATAGTGTAGATTCAAGTTTGTTCAAATCATGACCCCCGGGGGTAGGGCAGGGCCAAAATGGCTGATCAAAGTTTTACATAGAAATATATAGGAAAATTCTTTAAAAATCTTCTTCTCAAGAATGACAAAGCCATAATTCATCAAATTTATATGGAAGCATCCTCAGGTAGTGAAGATTCAAGTTTGTTCAAATCATGACCCTGGGGGTAGGGCAGGGCCAAAAAGGCCGACCAAAGTTTTATGGGAAAATTCTTTAAAAATCTTCTTCTCAAGAATGACAAATCCATAATTCATCATATTTATATGGAAGCATCTTCAGGTAGTGTAGATTCAAAAATTTGTACAAATCATGACCCCAGGGGGTAGGGCGGGGCCAAAATGGCCGACCAAAGTTTTACATAGAAATATATGGAAAATTCTTTGAAGAAAAGCAAATCCATGATTGATCATGGGATTACTTTTGGATTTTAACTTTTCAATTATAAACCAATTTCTACTTTTTCTTAACTTCAGTACTCAGGTGAGCGATGTGGCCCATGGGCCTCTTGTTTAATGTACCATTAGTGATACACATCTGGCGGGACATTCATGTCCTATAGACATATTTCTAGTTTTTCAAATCATCACCTCAGGCTAGGGTCAGGCCACAATTAGGGATCAATTTAGGAATAAAAGGAAACACATCTTTAAAGTTCTTCTTTTCAGGAACACCAAGAGCATGATTAATATGGAAATATTCTCAAGAGGTGAAGATTCAAGTTTGTACAAATCATGACCACCAGGGTTAGGGAGGTGCCATATTATTCCAGCCCCTTTTTGCCATCCATATGAAAATTCAAATTTTGAAACCATTTTACACATACACAAAACAAACCAATCATTTTCTAAATGATCATGGTTTAAAGCTATTGCAGCATAAGATATTAGGGAAGTTCTTGAAAGCAGGGTGATTTAACATGTCAAATATATGTAAAAAAAAAAATATATAAAAATTCTACCTCGATTTGATCCCCATCCCCCCCACCCCCCGGGCAAAATGAAAATTCCGAAACCTTACTGCACATCTACATGACACCACCAACCATCTCTTAAAATATGATAAGGCTGCTGAGTAAAATGTAGAAGGAGTTCAGGGAAGAAGGGGCTTTTTGTATAAAAAAAACGTCATTTTTCGACCCCCATTTGATCCCCCGGGGCAAAATCAAAATTCCGAAACCTTACTGCCCATCTACATGACACCACCAACCATCTCTCAAAAGATGATTAGGCTGCTGAGTAAAATATAGAAGGAGTTCAGAGAAGAAGGGGCTTTTTGTATAAAAAACGTCATTTAATTTTCAACCCCCATTTGATCCCCTGGGGCAAAATCAAAATTCCGAAACCTTACTGCACATCTACATGACACCACCAACCATCTCTCAAAAGATGATTAGGCTGCTGAGTAAAATGTAGAAGGAGTTCAGGGAAGAAGGGGCTTTTTGTATAAAAAACATCATTTTTCGACCCCCATTTGATCCCCTGGGGCAAAATCAAAATTCCGAAACCTTACTGCACATCTACATGACACCACCAACCATCTCTCAAAAGATGATTAGGCTGCTGAGTAAAATGTAGAAGGAGTTCAGGGAAGAAGGGGCTTTTTGTATAAAAAACGTCATTTTTCGACCCCCATTTGATCCCCCAGGGCAAAATCAAAATTCCGAAACCTTACTGCACATCTACATGACACCACCAACCATCTCTCAAAAGATGATTAGGCTGCTGAGTAAAATGTAGAAGGAGTTCAGGGAAGAAGGGGCTTTTTGTATAAAAAACGTCATTTTTCGACCCCCATTTGATCCCCCGGGGCAAAATCAAAATTCCGAAACCTTACTGCACATCTACATGACACCCCCAACCATCTCCCAAAGGATGATTAAGCTACTGTGAAAAATGTAGGAGGAGTTCAGGGAAGAAGGGGCTTTTTGTATAAAAAACGTCATTTTTCGACCCCCATTTGATCCCCCGGGGCAAAATCAAAATTCCGAAACCTTACTGCACATCTACATGACACCCCCAACCATCTCCCAAAGGATGATTAAGCTACTGTGAAAAATGTAGGAGGAGTTCAGGGAAGAAAAGTGTGACAGACGGTAGGGGTGGGACGATATACCGATACACCGATACATATCGATATTTTCCTCCAAGATACGGTTTAAGATACAAGCATTCAAATATCGGTACGAAACGATACACGAACGACCTATCCAAAATTTGAAAATGAAAGTACCTGTCCTTGGAAAATGGCGGCTTTTACGAGCGAAAAGATGATGTTGATATTGAAAACACACTTAAGAACTAATAAGTCGTTCGTTAGGGGTAAAACGTTTTCACTTTAAAGCAGCCTCGGAAGATTGGACAAGAAAAGTTCAGTATGTAATGCGTGCTATACACAGGAAATATCGTTTCCAGAACATTTGATATTATTAATCATGTTAATTGTTAGTCCATCTTGTACTTTGTTTTGTAATCTCAACTTAGCTCAGACTTTCAGCAATGAATTAATAAAAATGTAAATGTGATCGATGTTTTTTAAATGAATTTTTAGTCAGTGTTCTCTGATAAACTACACAACTATTTGTAAACAACTTCTGAATAGTAATTTGGTAATAATAGTATGTACATGTATTATTGTTTTTGTAAAGTTTTAGTCAATGAAATTGATGAACTTCAAGTATTAATTTTAAAGCAAACATGATTTGATATAGAATAATTTCATTTAATGTCAAGACCAAAAAAAGAAATAAAATACTAATTCTTTTGAATAGTTTTACAATTTCTCATAATATCGAGATACGTATCGTATCGTGCCAATATATCGAGATACGTATCGTATCGCAAGATGTGTGTATCGTCCCACCCCTAACAGACGGACGGACGGACGGACATGAGTAACAACAATATACCCGAACTTTCTTTCGAAAGTGCGGGTATAATAACAGTTCACACAATAAAAACAGTCTCCAATAGAATCATTCTTAAAATGTCATAATGTGTTTTTTTGTGTAAAATTATATTTACACACACCAAAGCAGAACTAATTTGTTTAGAATTTTATCATTTGCATACTAGCAAAAAGAGCATACATGGCATAAAAATTTATTTATTATTCAGGAAAACTGTAGACAAACCATTGAGCTGTATCTCGGTGGTGATCTCCCGTTTAACTATGTACTCCACAAGCATCAGTTGGTGGTTCTTGATCTGAGCCTTTAGTTTGGTGGCGATGTTGTACAACAACTTCCCATTCTCTTTGTCAATTTGACCCGGGGCAATCTTCTCGGCCTGAAATATTAGGAAGAAGGTTCTTCATTAACGATCTAAGACTTGCATATCTAACTGTTCTAATGAAAATGCCATATGATACAATATAACACGGGATATACTAAAACAAGTCCCACGGGGAAAATAAGTCCCACATGAGTCCCACAGAAAAATAATGAGTCCCACCAGTAAATATGATATTTTATTAATATTTTACAACATATCTTTATAGATTGTCATTGTTTAGATATGTTTTGAATAAAATTTTGTCACAAAAAAGGTTTTAGAAGCCGGTTACAACGACTAGTTACAAAAACAAAGAACGATAACTCCTATATCCTCATATAACTCTTTAATAGTTTTTCTAATCCCAACAATAATGATAACATTTTAGTAGTTTTTGAAAACAAATTAAAAGATAATATAATTTTATTATTAAATTAATTATATTTTAAAAATGCAAAAAGTTCTAAGATGTTTTCTAATGATCGTGTATAAACAAAGAGCAATAACTCTTACATCTGCCTCAAGTATTGAAGTAACAAGCCATCCAAAGTTTAATTCTAAAGATTTTATGAAACTTTCACAATGTTCCTTGGTTTATATGCCTTCTGCAGCAGTTCTAATGACTAAAAAAACTACTACCAAAAACAGACATTTTCAATCAATTTTTATATAAAAATTAATAATTTTACAAAATCAAACCTTGGGAAATTCAATGATTTTTTTTCAATGCTAGTCTTGTATTTATCAAGCATATGAGAAAGAGATTTTTAGTTAATATGTGCAATGTATTAGCTCAATAATCTAAAGCCATTCTTTCTTTTGAAAATTACGATTATACGGTCCTAGGAAATTATATAGACCTATAAGAATTGTTTTAAAGATATAGAAAGTGAACTAGTTTACTCATTCATAACATGGTATGAAATTGGAAAGTGATTTATATCTGACAACAGTGATAAACTAGTATTTGAATTTTTTTAAAATTACATTTAACTTTTATAATACTTTGTATTTTATAACAATTCAGTGAAATGAGGAATCAAACTGCAAAAATCAGAATTCCAGTTGACTGAGTTGAGATAGGTGTGTTTTCATTCATTAAAGACACTTGCGTTGTGAAAAACTTTCAGTTAATTAGAGAAATAGTACTCAGATGCACTGGCTTGTATTCGGGTATCCTGGAAATATATTTGGTGAATATGATGAACTTGTGGAAAATAAACGTGTTTATTATTAAGTTATAACAAGTGTTTTAATTCTGTTAAAGTCCTTCTGTCGAAGATGAAAAGCACTTCTTATAATTATTAGACTGCAGCTTTAATTTTTTTATTTGTTTATGGTGCAAATTACAATTCTTATAATGCACAATGTCACTTTAATAAATAGTTAGTTACTTACTTACTTATTGAATTCACTGACATTCAATAACACAATTGCAGGATTTCAGAACCTAAGTTACATGTATGGACTATTAAAGTTTGGCTACTGAAGTCCGTATATAAAATTTGTTCATTAAAAAAAAATCTTTCAGATCAAAATTTAATTCAACATCTAATTTCATGGACTTTTTTTTTGGTACATATAATTCATGGTGTAAATCAAATCACTATAAACACATGATAAAATTCCAAGTTTATTTTTAAAAATACTCTTTTTTGACATGTTCCATATCCAGGAGTAAACTGGCTTTAACATTTGTTTAATAATCTAATTTTTTTACTTTATTTACATGATGAATAAGAAACACATTTTTTAATAAAGAAAATGGATATATAACAGTTACTTCTCTGCATGGTATTTGTTCTACAAAGATTATTTGGAATCTTTTCATACAAGTCAAGAATTTACAATACAGTTTATGCTGACTTAGTCTACCAGTATTCTGAATCATAATTCTTTATTAATTTAATTTTCAAGGAATGTTTTTATTTATGAAATCAAATACGAAAATTTTTGATTAATGACCTTATTTGTCATACATAATAGTGGCTGAAATTTCAATAATTCTACATTTAATTAAATATTTTATTTGAAATCCAAATGGTGTAACCTAGCCCCAGCCTTGTTCAAAAGTTATTGTAATAGGTATACAAACAACTGGGAGACTGAAAGGTGTGAATAACATCCCCCAGGTGTTGTGTACAGGTATACCAGGGACGTACCTCTACAGGTGTCTGTGAAATGTGTATATACACAATAAACATGGTTGTCAGGAAAACTTACCAAGTTGTTGTTAAATTACATAAAACCACAGTAAAACTATTTTAGTTTGTAAGAAACAAAGTAATAATATAAAATCATTATAATAAAATAAAACTTACTTTGAGTTGTATATAATATAATTGGAAGAATATTTTCAAACGAAACTTAAAAATTCAAGTTAAACAGAAGAACAAATTAAATTCAGAAATAACACCATATTAAATTAAATTCCTCATTAAAAATATATTTTTACAAATATCTAATTTTTTTTTAGAAAAAAAGTTAGCTGTCAGCAGTATTTAGACATTGTCAATATAGTTCTTGGCCATTGTTTTGGGACTTGTTTTAGTATCAGCGATATAACACTAGTCTCTGTCCAATCTTTTAATGAACACTAGTAAACATTGATCACATTTGTTTATCTTAATATAATAACAGAAAAATCTATTTCTTTGATTTTTAACCGCTCCTATAAGATCTGCCCTGTAATATTTCTTTTTCTTCTTCTGTGTACTTATGCTTGCACTTAAATAATATGTCATAACTTAAGTACTACTGCTGTATATTACCACAGTGTTGCGTCACGATAGGCACCGACTGTCACAAATGAACTTTTCAGCTACGTCCACTTTCTCTTCGCAAACCTACCTGTTCTATGGCAGTTTTCAGATTCTGTGAAACAGCTTCATTTTTTAAAGTTTCTTTTGCCTTCTGTTCGCTTAGACCGATGGCCATAAACGCCGAAACAAGTTCAGCAGACATCTCTCGAAAAATGTCAGCGTGCGTTTTCCGTGATGATGAAATATTAGAGTGATCTCCCTTTCCGGAAATATCACTGGACAAGTCGTACAAAAAATAGTCATGTGTCATACCAAAAATAGGAAATGGCGGATCCAGACGTTCAAAATTGGACGGGGATGAGTCCAAAAGACCGAAGGGGTATTGGAGGGGGCTTTCCCATTGGTGACCCCCGAAAACATCTATATGGTGCATTTTTCCATCCACGTAAATAGCTTTTTTCCACTTTTAAAATTTAGAATATATTGAATATTTTTTTCATTAGGTGTAACTTTGTAGTTACAAGTTTATATGTATCTTCATTTCTATTTTGGAACGCTTGCACTATAAATGACAAAATATAAACGCATTGGAAAAAAAAATTAATGTAAAATAATTTATAATATAATAATAATTTGCAACTTTATTGAAGGAGTATTTGTTTACCATCAATTCGAAAATTTCAATCAAAAAGTAAAAAATAAAATAAATGAGAAATCGCGTGCACAAAATTAGAAAGTCAAAAAATAAGAATAATAATCATGCGCGGATCTAGAAGGGGGGGGGGTCAGCCCCCCCCCCCCCCGGAATTTCCAGGTTATTAAATTCATATACAAAAGCAAGGAAAAAGTTAACTTGGAACCCCCTCCTCAGAAAACGCAGACCCCCCTTGTAAATGTAAACTGGTATTTAAGTGGCCTTAAAGTTAAATATTTGAAGCATTAAAAGTCAAGTCTGCCCCCCCCCCCCCCCCGAAACACACGAAATAGAATTTTGAACTTTTGGCGACCTTTTGTTTGTTTGTTTGTTTGTTTGTTTTTTTTTTTGCTTGTCAGGAAATTTCTGGGTTGACAGGGTTGGAACCCCCCCCCCCCCCCGGGAAAAATTTCTGGATCCGCGCCTGATAATAATAAGAAACAAGGTCTCCGTGAAAACGTAAGACCTTAAAAAATCACTGTATTCGAACCTAAAATGTTTGTTTCGATATGGCTTGAATCCAGCAACAAACCAATGTAGCTACCGCCGCACACTATACGTAGATAGTATCTTAATCATTATTCAAACTCAAAGTCCTATATAATTGGACTTTGTCAATTTTCTATCAGTAAATAAATGGAAAAAGTTTAGATTATGTATTTCTGGGTCGTCTCTCCATTTTTAAACAATTGGAAAAAAAAATTACGGTTAGAAATACACTGATAACGCGTTTAAAATTCACGGAGAGAAGACCCAGAAACAACAAAATTAATGAAAAAAGGCTTTAAAAGAGTCGATTTTTGCATCATTAATTAGACTCATACGGCTATATCCAGGTGCTTATTCAAATAAAATCAAACATATTAAACTGAATGTTTGCCCATTTTACATTCACCTACAACAAAGTCAATGGCTAGGTTTTGAAAAAAGTGTATAAATCAATTATGGATTTTTTAATTCTTTTTATGAGCCACTATTCCTGCCGAATCGCCATCTAAAGCGCCCACTTTCTTGTCATGGATTTTAAAGCATTAAACATATAGAGCAAAGTTTGCCTATCTACCAAATTTATATATTCTACACACTCGTATCAGATGCAGTTTATGTGTAAAAATCTCAGATAAGCAAGCTTGTGCTCTACGTTTTCTGAAGAGAAAAGTATCTCAAATATGATGACTGAATTCCAAGAATTGAGGAAATACAAGACAATATATATATATCCTACTTCTGCACCCTCTATTGGCTTCCGTGTAGTCATTGATTCTAAATTTGTGCTTGTTTTAAAAAAGGCGCCATTTTAACTTTTTGTCCCCCGCTTGAAAAGTGGGGGATATTAATTTGGGTTTGTCCGTCCGTCCGTCCGTCCGTCCGTCTGTCCGTCCGTCCGTCCGTCCGTCCGTCTTTCTGTCTGTCTGTAACGCTTTCGTTTCCACACGATATCTCGAGAACCCTTTGAGCTTTTGCAATGAAATTTAGCATAGCAACTCCCTATGGACTAAAGAAGACCCCTATTGATTTTGAGGTCAAAAGGTCAAAGGTCAAGGTCATAAATAAGCAAATTCTGTCTGTTAAAACACTTTCGTTTCTACACGATATCTCTAGAACCATTTGAGCTATCGCAATGAAAATTTACATAACAACTCCCTGTGGCCTAAAGAAGAACCCTATTGATTTTGAGGTCAAAAGGTCAAAGTTCAAGGTCGTAAATTTATACATTCTGTCTGTGTGTAACACTATCATTTCCGGGCGATATTTCAAGAAGATTTTGAGCTTATGCAATGTAATTTTATACCAAAACTCCCTAGGACGTCTCTCGCCCCTCTCAAAGTGCCCCGCCCCGTTTGTTTTATTAGTATTTATAGTATTACATGTCGCTATTTTTAGTGAGGGGCATGAGGAGAGTTATTGCGTTTAAAACAGGTTCTCGGCGGACTTTATGTTCTTATTACATCTATTATAACTGTTTAATAAAGGCTAAATAAATCAAACACCATGGATTGTGTAAAATTTTGAGAATACCGAACATGAAAACATGAATATATACATGTATGTGACTTCAGTTCTGCATATACTTCACTCTGAGTAAAGCGAGTCCGTGGTCTAGTGGTTATGTCTCTCGCTTCAAATGTGAGTGGTCCCTCGATCGAAACTCGGTCGAACCTTTCTTTTTTTTCTTTTTTTTAAATACTTTTTTTTTACTAAATGATAGTATTCAGCATGTGAAATGAAAAATTTATGAGGTTATAAAATCATCATTACAGTGTGATAAATATTCCATATAAAAAAATCTTCTATACACATAATAAAGAATAAGCAATCAAATCTTTATATGCATATTGACATACATGTATTTTATTTCCTTCAGTATACATGTATACATTTAATAATTCTACAAATTCAGTCAGGGGGAGCCGACTTTTTCCCTAAGCGGGGGACACGAATTCTCTGAATTAGCTTGTTAAGTATAAACTAGCACAATATTAACATTATTCTGATTTTAACATCAAATAAGGAGCAAGATTCGACCCTTACCCCGGCTATCTTGTCCTTCGTATCTGTTACAATTACTAGTAATTAAACTAAAGCTAAGACTTTGCTTTCGCAGTAGTAAACTAGGGCCGCGACTCGGACCTAAACGTTTAACAAGAAGCCCATCGGCCACAACACTCACCTGAGTAACCTTGGTCATGTTGTTCACCAGATTTTCCCACTTAATTGTAATACCTTTTTTTGGCCTAACCCCACACCGGCGGGGGTCATGATTTGAACAATTTAGAATTTACACTAATCCAGGATGCTTCCAGTAAGTTTCAACTTTCCTGGCCCAGTGGTTCTTAAGAAAATTTTAAAAGATTTTTCCTATATATTTCATTGTAAAACTTGGATTCACTATATTAATCGTGGCCCTGCCCTACCCCTGGGGTCATGATGTGAACAATTTAGAATCTATACACTACTCAAGGATGTTGGCTCTGTGACTCTTCATAAAGAAGGTTTTTTTTATGACTCCATTTTGTCTTTTCTTGATGATCTCGATTACCTTGTAAGAAGGACTTGGCTCTTCATTTAACAATTAAAGTGAGCTTAAAATATATGAAACGGATGAAATCAAGATTTCAAATTTCAAAGTCTGACAGAAATCCGAAGTGCACAATATTTATTTTTAAAACTTTATGTGAATACTTCGAATGCACTTTAAAAAAATAAATATACCTATAAAGACATCATTATTTTGAGCTATATTTTTAGGTTATTAAATGTATAATATATTAAATCGACTAAAAATGACCTTGGACCTCCTAGAAAACACCCCCACCCCCTTGAAAATGCAGATCTATGGTAATTTATGAAAACTTACTGATTTAATTGTAGCTTTCATTTTTCCCGGCCGTGTGTGACTTCAGCTGTAGGGCTTCAATTGCTAGATTGGTGAATATTCAGGAACCTCCGTTATGTGTATATCCTCATTCAATATTAATATTTAGGGAAAAAACAAATATATATGGTAAAACACACTTTTAGCAAAATGTCACACTTCGTTATCCGCGATGCATACTGAGTATATAATTATGATTTTTTTTTGGGGGGGGGGGGTAACGAAAATAAGTCTCCTATTAGCACTTTGTTTTAGAAGTTGAACATTTTAAAAACGTTTTCTTTACTTTTCTTTCATATCTTCTTTTTTAAATGAATCATACGTAAGATTATCCAAAATTAAAGCAATTATTTTAGTTCCAAGGAGACAAATAATGCATGTATATTGAACATTTTTATTGATACACAGTATATAGGGAGCGAAAACAAGTCATTTAAGTGTGAGTCACATGGGGATGACTTGACGATTAATCGGCGGATATTCGATCAAAAGTCTAAGTATCGAATACTAAAACTGGCACTCGGTTACTCGGTTGTATAGTTTTTCTTATTTTTAAGTCAATACTCGTACGAATATTTATTTTTAAAACATCAAAAAAAACTTATAGGCATAAAGTAATGAGCTTTGCAATTCAATCAGAGAATTTCACAAACAAACATGGCATTATAATCGGGGAGAGATACAGCCGACCATTGACCTGACGCGTACAGTACATTGGTTTCCAGCGGGGGGAGAACCGGCGGGGGGAGATTGTTGTATGGAATCTGGTTTCCGTCGTCGTCAAGGTAATAAGCAGCGCCACCTGGATCTTTCTTTCCTTGAACCCAAAAATAAGTCCCGCCTGCTTGAGCTAAAGAAAAGGTAACACCAATTAATTATAAACTAGAGGTACTGTGAGCAATGAGCTCACTAAATGATACCCCCGCCTCCCATAATGTCCATGTGTTGCTAGGCCTATATGTTGTAAAATACGGTAATGTGTAAAGAGGAATAACTCGTCCTATCAAATGTTATTCAGAAGCTTCTATGTGACTTCATAGGTAAACATATAATGGCAATGTCCATGTTTTGCTATGGGAAACCTAAAATACGTGTCGAATAAAAAAGTAAAATAGGAGGTGCACAATGGCAATATGTAATAAAGATTCTGTGAAAGTTTCATAAAATTTCACTCAGTAGTATAAGAGGAGTTGCATGCTGAT